TAGGGGTGGGATATTTACTTTACTTTTTATTTACTTTACTAAAGTAAAGTAACTAAAATAGTTACTCATTTACTAGTAAATAGTAACTACTTAGTTACTTAGTTACTAGTAAATAGTAACTACATATTTACTTAGTTACTAGTAACTAAGTAACTACATATTTACTTAGTTACTAGTAACTAAGTAACTACTTAGTTACTTAGTTACTTTTATGTAGTAACTACAGTAGACACGTAGCTAATAGTAAATGTAGTATTCAGCAGAAGCATAACAGTTCAATAATAGTTTTGATCTGAGAAACTATTTGAAACAATCTCTAATCAAAGCTGATAAACCCGATGTTAATAAGTCATCCACAGATATTTGTTATTATTGCTTTTCAGCGGCTGTCTAAGAGTAGTATTTCCCATCACTTTTCAAGAACTACCTGAAGATCATGCTCACGTTAGACAAATTTTTAATACAAGTTGCTTGAAACAAATCTTAAGTTGTTTCACTTAATCATCAATTCCGATAAAAAAAAGATTAGAAGTTACAAAGCATTTGGTAATATTAAGTCTTACGGGATTACTCAATACTAAATAAAAGAATTATATTATTTTGTTTCACGATGTACTCGAAATTAGGTGATTAAGTAGTTAGCGTAGATAAGTAACATTTGATTTTGATAGTATTCTTATAGAAAAGTATTTCTTTTGAAAAATAACAACTTTCTACAGAGCTTTATCACAAGCTTTTTCAGATACTCATAGTTTTTCAATTCAATACTAGAAAAAAGAGGCTTATTCAAATATTTCAAAGTAACTTGATATTATTAATACCATAAAAGCCTTCCATTTAGTTAAAGATAATGTAAAGAAGATATATTCTTTATAATTTTCTTGTGTTGTTTGAAGTTTTCTTGATATAAATATAATCCTCATGGTTCGTGATTTCCAATCTAATTAAACAAGAGTCAACTTCTATTGTGACTTGCCCAAGTAATGAAATTTACATCAAAACTTTCTTTCATTATCAACTGAATATATTTCTGATAGCGAGAAAGATAGTATTAACAAATAAAAAAAGTGATGAGCAAGAAATAATGAATCACTTGAAGAAAAAAATATGAACTAACAGAAATATACAATTACATTTTGTTCATAAGAAAAAAATGAACGATTTTCAACACCGATACAAAAAAACGTGAATAATGTTGATTATCAGTAACAAACCAAAAAGAATTTTCACTGTCAACGCCAAACAAGACAAAAATAACTTTCACTAAAACCATCAAGAACAAAAAACTTAATATTGTAACTGATGGATAATACATGAACAACTGCTTTAACAAAAAAAAAATTTCGAATAAATGAATAAACAAAAACATTATAGGGATATTTATAGAGATCATAAACAAATTATCAATACGAATAACTTCATACTGATTAAACTTAGTCCAATATTTTGTTTTATCAAAGATAGAAGATCATCAACTTCTATTCTAAACACAAGGATGCATGCATGTTGTTTTAATATTGGCACTTTGGAGGACAATACAAAAATTAAGCATTTCTTTTGTGTCATACAACAAAAGACGACGTTTTTTCTTGTATGCTTATTTCAATATGAACTGTTATTATGACCTTCAAATCTTTCAAGATTGCTTTAAATATATATTTATAGAATGAAAAATGAAAGATTTAAAGCTAATAATAACGATGCCTACTATTTCATGAAACGAGAAATGCTTAATTTTTGTATTAATGTTAAAAGTAATAGTCTTTAAACAACGTGCATACATGCTTGCATTAAGAATAGAAACCGATGATCTTCTATCTTTGATAAAAGATAAATATTAGACTACGTTTAGTCAGTATGAAGTTATTCGTAATGATAGTGTTTATGATTTTTAAAACCTCCTATGCATGAATTATAGCAAAAATCTAATAACGGTAACAACAAGAGAAACAATCTGAAAGCTATTCAATAGTTTTGTTCAAGTTTATCAAGTAGATGACGATTTTTTAAAACGAGTAGGTACCGAAGAGTACGTGATGAAAGTCCTGATCTTTGTTTACGACTAAGAAAATTGGCTACGCTGAAAAGCGCTTCACTAGCTACCGAAGTAATAGGTGAAATATTTGTTCGTCTTACAAGACGAGCGAGACGTGGTAGTACTTTCTCGTTCGATGACCAGAATTCTTGAAAACTTGTAGCAGTTCGGACAGATTGAATGTACGTGCTTAGCTCTTCATCAAGAGTTATTGGTCGTTGAGATATTGATAATGATGTAAAAGATACAGTATGACCACACATAATTGCTAATTGATATAGAGGATTCGATGGATTTTCTGTTGAGTTTGTTGAAGTTGGTGGTAAATTTACGTTTGCAGCAGATGTATTTTTCAGTTTTTTGAAAAGAAGTTTTTTTGCTATTTTTCGATCGTCATCATTTAGAAATGGATATGTCTTCGGATCCAAGAATGCTGCAATCTAAATGTACCCAAAGATCTACATAAATTACAGATATCAACAACAATGACTGAAAAGCATAGTTTTGAATATTGCTTTTTAGTTATTGAGAATAAAGACATAATCATGTGTTTTAATATTTAGGCTGTTGGTAGAGATTCTCCGACAAAATAAGAACGTTTCCTTTTTTTTTATTTATCATTTTTCCAGCTAATGTGATGGCTTCCTAGAGAGAGAGTCTGGAGTCTTCACATGCCAAATCCGTGATACTTCCAACGAAGACTTTGTATGGAATCACTCTTTCTTTCTGCATAATCAATTGAATCTCGAAATGAAGAATTTGATCGAAAGACTTAAAATAGACCATAATAAGGTCCTGAACAGTGTTTCGCTACATGTATAGCACGAATTGATTTAGAAAGTGCACCAGCCCTATGAAACATTTGCGACCACGAATTAGCAAATAGATTGACATGAGTTGTGAGAGAATTTCATCAAGACTTACAGGAGTATTTGAAGGTCTTATGATTATGATTTTAATAGATTTTCAGTTATTTCTACCTAAAACAATATCCAGAGACTTGTGCAATTTAAATAAAATTAGTTAATACTGGAGTATTTTTCAGCTGTACAGGAGCTTCAAAATCTTAAGTGGATCTTCCTGCATATATAAACTAGGGATCTTTGCTACGAAATTTTTATTAGATCCGTAGGGCGAAAAAAAGTTCGTAGCAAAGATGGAAGATACAAAACCATTCATATTTTATATGAACGCTTACAGGATTTCTAGTGAACTTCAAGAGATTTGTACTGAATTCTAAAGGGTTCGTATAAAACATGAATGATTTTGTATCTTCCATAACGAGCCATTTTTCCACTTACGAATCTTGTACAGGTTTCATAGCAAAGAGTCCTAGTTTATATTCGTAGGAAGATCCATTTAAGACTTTGAAGCTTCTGTACACCTTAAAAAGACTTTACTATTGAACTAATTCGTTTTAGAGTGTCTTATCACATATGACATCAATCTTTGATACACTATATTCATCTGGAAAAGCAGCTAGATTTTGTTTGGCGAATTGTATGTTTTAAAAGATTTGAAATAACGAATTTTTTTCTTTCAAATATATTCCTTTTATAAAGAAAATTTATCTCTTTCCTTTGATATTGAAATTACTTTGACAATCTGTCTTAAGTGAAACAACCAAAACTCAAGAAATGCAAGGCGTTGAGACGGCTCATTCTAGAATTTTCTTTGTTACATTGAGTTCTCCAAACTGTAATCTGCATTTAGAGGACGAGATTGGACTGAGACATTACTTATGTCTGGATAAATATACAATTTCACGAATTAAATAAGAGGAGTTGATATAGATATAGCGGGTCTACGAAAGATACGCACAATGAAACTTGCGCACGGATCGATATCTCAAGGTATCGAAAAAAAACAAACTGTAAACCATACCACCACTCATACCCACATCCACACTCTCATGTGCATCCGCATTCTCGTATCATATCATCACCTAGTGGTTAGAAAGGCGCAGTGCGCATTATTCGCAATCCCAGATACAGCGTTTCTTTCTCTTTTTAACGTTGGCATTGCTTCGATAGGATATACCTTCCCAGAATAAAATGAAAGAAAAACAATAAATATTTCGTTATAGCATTTTTTATCTTCAGTTTCATCGCTAAATTATTATTTATTTGATTACTTTCATTAAGTTTTATCCAAACCATATACTACTAGAGTCCATAAATACTTTGCTAAGCTTTCAGCAAAAAAAAAAACTAATATGAATATTACGATCAGTACTTTTGATTGAATTTATTTGTCACTATGGAATGAACCCTAGACACGTAATTATTTTCAAGAGTATGTCGAACATATACATATAGTTAGACGAAAACTTCAAGTAATTGCCGAAGTAACCTGTGTCGATACTGTAGTGACTCATTCGTTTTATAAGAAGATTGACAAAGCGATATCGTTGTCATTAAATTTGTAGAAAATGATCTTATCTGTGAGCATGAATCTCCAGTGAGAAAATACACGTTCAATCAAAAGGAATTTGTTGCTCGAAATGCGAAAAATATTGATAGAAGTATAACATATAACGAATTACAAAGTTAGGGAAAATACCTACAGAATACAGACACATCTCTACCATATCCTGTATTCTCGATAAATTGAAATTAGAAAAAACGTCACGTGTGTTGCTTAGAAGAATAACATTCCAGTTACATGATTTAGCTCAATTCATAGACCTAGAAGTCATCTCCAGTAAATAATGTTTCATCAATCGCACAAGTTAACACTAGTTTGTGAACAGAGTCCCAGTGAATCGTAATTCTATGCTTTGTCCATATTAATTATGAATTTTATTATTTTGCACGTACAACTAATGGTCCAACGGTAACGATCATTCACCAGTTAACTGTCGCCGTTTCAAGCCGATAACCGTACCAAATTTTATCGTAATTAGATCGGTAACTGTGAGTACGGTTATCGCCACCGTTGCATCTCTACATACAATGTTTAAAATAACTCAATTGAAATAATTAATAAAAATGTCGTCCATTCTGAATATCTACAAATTTACAATCGAGTCAAGCTCATTTTATCATTACGTCCATTGAATTACAGTGATGTAATTTTACGCAAGTTACTTTATTGATGATTATATCAACACCATGAGGTAGGCGAAAATAAAGTAAATAAATAAATACTATATTCATCTTTTCATTAGGAATCAGTATTTAAGTAGTTACTTAGTTACTAGTAACTAAGTAAATATATAGTTACTTAGTTACTAGTAACTAAGTAAATATGTAGTTACTAGTTA